GTATATTTTTCTATATTTGCTTTAAATTCAAATATGTGCAATTAAATAAAATGGGTTATCTGTAAGATAGTAATTTATTTAAAAATGAAAAAATATTGAAGATATTATTTGTTATTTAATTGTACAATTAATTTTCAACTTGGCTTATTTACTTATTACATTTGATATTCCTACAAAAAAATAAAACTTGGCTACAGATTTTGAATGGTTTTAGCCATAGGTTACAATAAGTTCATGATATCATTTGTTGTTGATCATGTAAAAAGTTTTAATTGAGATTTTTTTAATAACATACTAAAAGAATGTGGAAAACTGCAATGAATCATTTTAAATAATTATTTGTCAGTTTTTTTTACATTCACTTCCCAATAGCTGTAGGTTTTAAGGCAAATAGAATTAATCTATTTTACAAATAATATATTTTGAAAAAATTACTGATTTAAATGATTTTTGAACTTTCAAAACAAATATGTTCAAAAAAATTAAGTTGCTCAAAAAAAGTTAGGTGAAACTATAAATGTTGTTTTTAGCAATTTGTTGCATTGGTTTGACAAGGTTGTAACTGACATTTTTATGAAAATTGACTTTATCATTTTATTAGACTATTTAAATCATGACAAACAAAATGAACTGAAATTTACAGCATTATAGTGTAAAACAAGCATACTGCTAGTATGTCAAAGTTTTATCTTCAACTTTAGTTAACTAATATTTAGTTTGACAAAGTTTTAACTAACTATAACTGCATAATCTCTTGATGGTTTTTATTAATCTATTTTTATGATAGAGAATTTTATGCCCATCAAAAATCATTAAAAAAATAAGTCTGAAAATCAACATAAAGTGTTCTAATTTGATATTGATGTAGAATAAATTACCATTAAAGCTATTATTTGACATTTAAAAAAAAATCTTTTTTATAATGCTTTACTTAAATATGACCTACAAATTTATAACAATCTTGTCAACCTTCCTTTTTCTGATTTCTTTACATTTTCTAATTCTCATTACCCCACTAGAAGTCATGCGAAAAAATTAATTTCACGCAATAAATGTACTTAGGATTCACGTAGATTTTTTTTCAGTGAAAGAATTGTAAAAATATGGAATTCATTGCCTGCTCACATTGTCGATTCATCTTCATTATTCATATTCAAAAAAAAACTACAAACTTACGACTTACAACAAAGTTGCGTATTGTATTAAATTGTCTTTGTTCTGGTGTTACATAAGCGTAATCTTGTGATTACCTGTCTCACCCTTTTGTATTTTAATGTATTTTTTTTAATGCAAATAAATATTATTAATACTATTATTATTATTATTATTATTATTATTATTATTGTTATTATTATTATTATTATTATTATTATTATTATTATTATTATTATTATTATTATTATTATTATTATTATTATTATTATAACTTAATAGTGGTTAATAATCTTGATGGAAGTAAATTAAAGTTTGAAAATATATAAACATATGCCAGTATTTAATAAATAGTAAATGTAAGCATAAAATTGTAATATATTAAGTATTATAATTTTTTTTTTATAATTTAAATATTAATAAGTATTATAAGTAATTATAAGTATTATAATTTGCATTAGTATAGTAAATTATATGTATTATAATTTTTATTATAATTTAAATTTTTTTCTAGCCCCAGCTATCAACCCCTGCTAAATCTTATAGTTAAGCCGGGGTCTGGTCCAGGTTTTAAGAAAGTCTCATTTTTAGCTGGGCCACTTACTACTCGAGGACAGAGATTACTTTTGAGTTGTTCTTTACCTATAAATTAAAAAGATACCATGAAAAACTTTTAAGGGTTGTACTTAATATAATGTACCAATTGGTTGTACTTAAAATGTACCAATAAAATGAATTAGAAAAAAGAATATAAATGAGTAAACAAAATGTTATAACCTTGTTTTGTGACTGAAACAATAATCTAATTGATACAAATTTAAAGTAATCAACTGCTTTAGTTACAAAATTTAAAAGTTACTAACATATGTTTAACTACCGTTATAACAGCAGTTAGAACCTTGCTTATGTTATCATGAGTAAAAAATATTATCGATAAATTTTAATAAATTTTGATGGTAGGAACATAAAAATTTTTAACATTGATTTACTTAAAACTACTTTTGGATCACTTAGAACCTTGTCACGAGGAGTCGTTATCCTAAAACAGGATAACAATTTAGTTAAGTTATTCAGTTGTTAAAGATTTAATTTTTTTGTTTAATAACTGTTATTTTTTAACTCATATCAGGGCTCGAATTAAGCGTATCGCGAATCGCGATTGCTTTTCACACCTTCGCGATTAGTTTTTTCGTAAAAAAAAAATATTGGCATCAGGTTGGCAACCTGATGCCAACCTGATTGCTTTTCACACCTTCGCGATTAGTTTTTTTCGTAAAAAAAATATTTTCGCGATTTGTTTTTTTGTTTTTTTTGGTTGTTTATTTACTTTTTTTCTAGTTTAGCATTTTTTTTGGCAATTCTCAAAAGTATTGTTTTTGTTATAAAGTACGTCATGGTAAATTTATCTTCTGGTTAGATGATCATTTGTCCTTTTGCGCAGAGATTTTTATTTGAATTTAAATTACTTTAAATCTTTGCGTGGAAGCCAAGCCTTTTAAATATTAATTTTATTTAAAAGGTGGTTAAAGCAAAAATTGAAAAGGGAAAAGACGTTAAATCGAATTTATTCTTCATTCTTTTTTTTTTCAACAAAACAGCTTGGTTTTTATCTTTGTCTTTCAAAACGTTGCACCAAATTAGTTTATTACTAGCAGTAAGCAACCCGTTATACGCGTTGTTAGTAAATAAAATTAAAAAAAAAAAACGCGTATAGAAAAGCCTATTAATATTATCAGATTAATGATTTAAGTTGTTATTTTATCAACAATTTTATATTATTAATTTTACTACTTTAAGTATATTGAAATATATATTAACTCGTTTTTTTTTTTTTTTAAAAACTTAATCAATCCTAATAGAAACCAGCAACTTTTTTGCATCAACGTTTTTAAGCTTATTCTTAAACTTAATGAAATATAATTCGATTTATTAAACCAAATTTTTTTTGTTTTACTTTTTGTTCGAAAACAATCTGAATAAAAAAGTTAAATGAAAACATCAGTTTAAAAAAAAAGGGGTGTATAACTTTTTTTTCTTTAATCTTACTCGTTTGGTCTATAGATCATAGACTCGTATGGTCTATCGAAATGTTCTTGCGCAAATGTTAAGTTTTATGAAGATTATTTTTTAATTTATTAAAAAGAACAATTTCATTTATTTATTTTGTTTTATTTTAAACGCGTTTTATGTTATTAAGGTTATAAATTGTATAAAACAGCAGCAAAGCAGTGTCACAAAGTTGTTTTACATTAACACAAGTTATTCATATTTTTAAAACAACTTTGCAGATTGTTTTAATGTTGGTTTATAGCTTTTTACAATAACAATTAAATACTCTTAAAAAATAACAGGAGTTTTATTGTCAGCATAAACGTATCAAATAGTTTTCTATGATTAATTAAAGTGGTTTAAATATTGTAATGTTTGTTTTTTACTCTTAGTTTTTTACAGATAGTATTTAAATCATAATCATAAGAATGAAATACTTTTTATGACTATGTTTAAATATGAGAGATAATATGTTTAAAAAATAACAATTACGTACAAAAGGTGCACCCCTACCCCTACCCCCCCCCCCACAACCGCAAAGCAGCGCAAGCTATGATGGGGGAGGGGGGAGTCAAAAAAAATTTTTTTTTTCGCGATTAGATTTTTTTGCGATAATTTGAGCCCTGTCATATGGTAAACTAAGTAATTAATGTCACTTTCCTCATTTGAAATAATATAGTTAAATGAACTGGAATTATTTAATTTGATATAATATGCTATTTAATCCATTTCAGCCCTTGGAATTAGGGTTGGCATTGAGCAACGTCGACCTTACTGCCAACCTAGATGTGTTTAAGGTTAGCAAAAAATCATTTACCTCGTTTCTATGTTTATAGTAAAACTTTTGTGTCAAGTATTTTTTGTCAACCTGATGCCAACTTCTAACAAAATTCATGTGGGAAAATTATTGCAGACCTCATTTTTCCTAATTCCGAGGGCTGCCATTTTGCAGTTCCTAAATTGTGTTTAACTTTATATTTGATAATAGGATAAATGTTTAAAATAGACATTATGGTTTCACATCAATTTTATCAAATATAAAGTTTGTATGGATGCCAAAATATTTAAAAAAGTATTATGTGACAAACCAAACAAAGAAGATAATATATATTGGAAGAAAATGCTATCAATTTATCTAGAAAAAGCTAAAATTGCTGTAGATTGTAAACTTCAAGCTTTATTTGTTCTATCTGAAGTGAAAGCTTTCACATTAATACAAGACACTACATCATATGATGATGCAATAAAAATACTTGATAACAAATATAAAAACGATCGACAGCTATCATGATGCACCATAAATTTCCCTGTTTTAAGCAACAAGAATCAATTAAAAGCTTTATGAACAACCTGAAACAATTTACTAGAAAATGTTCAACAGAACCACTAATAGCAGAACAACAACAAGTTTACTAATATGTGACACTTTTATTGCCGGAATTTACTCACCTACTACCTAGTAGCTTTGACAATGAATAGAAGCTACTTAAGACAATCCAAAGGCACTTTAATAAAACAATAAAACTAATAAAATAATAAAACAACGCTTATAAAATAATAAAACAATAAAATAATAAAACAACGCAATAAAAATAATAAAACAACGCTTACAACATGGCTCAATTTAATTTTTTATAAAGTCCTGGACAAAATATCCAATCAAAACTTGTTTGAGTCCGATCCAATTTTTTAAATATAATTTTTACAGTTTTACGGAACAGAGCAATCAAAATCTTTTTCATGTTATTAATTTTATTTAGCGTTAGTCTAGTCAAGTTGTAGTTGTTTCTTTCCTTATT